AGGTGGAAAATGTGGTTAACTCAGATGTTCCCTCCCTCCAATCATATATATATAAGCTGTAGCTGCTATATGGATTATTGTTATGTTAGTTTTCATCATAGCTAATATGGTGTTATTATTCTTCATACTACTTGTATTGAGACTACTAATCAGCTCTGAAGCAGTTGATGAAAATCTGCCCCCAAATGGTCAAGTAAGTAGTACTATATAATTATACAACTTTAGATAAATAATTAAAAGTAGCTTTGTGTTTTTTAATATATTTATTATAAAATAATTATTTATTTTTAATTAGGAAAAGCTCTTTGTTAGTGTTTTTTTATCAATGAATATGTTTTTATAGGATAGGGCAACAATAGAAGGAGATACAAGAGATGAAAGAGAACGATCAATTTTGGAAACTGTAAGTAAACTATTATTCATCTTTATTTATATTTGTTGTATACACATTTACTATAATGTTTTATTATTTAACCTAAAAAGATATCACAAATTTAAAAACCTAACTGTAAACAATTTTACTAGTTCTCATTGTATATTTTTGTCTATGCTGAAGCTGTTTTTATAAATATAATAGACTGCACCCTATTGGTAATTTTAATGTATATCATAGAACCAACTTTTACCAACAGCTGACTTTAAATATTCATAAAATTTTGCCTATATGTTAATTAGGGCTGTGAGCTAAATTATAGTTTAATTTGATAGTTAATTCATAACTTTTGTATAAATATATATTTGTTATTACAGTGGGGTGGTGGTTTGGAGACCTTTTTGGATCAATATCCCTACAATGCTGACTTGGAACATTACTTCATTAATGTGCATGGGGATGTCCTTTCCTTTGTCACATTAGACTATGATAATCTAGACCTAATACCACCTATACCTACGGGCTTCTGGACAATTTCTGAGGTATGTAGGTCTCTATGTAGTTTAAGTACCTCTAATAGTAGTAGAAGTAGTTTGTCTAATTCTTTATTTTTAATCTATATATGTATGGTTTTTTAGGAATATGCTCAAAATAGGATTCGAGATATGTGGTCGATAAGTAACCCTCCCGAACAAACTGGAGTCCATATCATAGAGTCATCACAAGAATATCCTAATCTTGTCTGGACTTTACTTCGATTAATGGTAGGTTTTATTTAAAAATATATAATCACTAGCTGTGTAATATAAAACTTTTATAGTATTTAGTTAAAACCTTATAAAACAGTTGGTTTATGTATTTTTAGATATGCTAACTATTATATATAACTTAATTTATGTTGTTTGTTTTAAACCAATATAATAATCAATAAAAGGATTAATTATCTGTATCTACTAGTTAACCCTAATATATCCTATCACATGAGATGCACTTTAACAAAATTAAACCACCAGTGGTGACAAATAAAACATAATAGGCCTACTTTTATTTTTACTATCAGTTTTATCTATCAATTATATACTAAATCTTGACTAAAAATGCTTATTTAAAAATATAATTTCCCACCTATATACAACACTATTTCAAAGTCTTTTTCCTAGTTATCAGAAATCAAAAAACCAAAAGATAAAAAGTTTATAATTTTATCCGATATACAGACAAAACTCTAATTTTATTTATATAATGTGTCTCTTTTAAAAAGTATTTTTTATTAATCATAATATGTTTTTTATAGAGAAATGGTGCATCTATAACTCTTAATGAAGAACGTCAACTGCTTGCAAGACCTAATGTTCGGCAAGCACCTATATCAAAAAGGATTGTCCTTAACTCACACTTAAGAGATATGTTAAGAGAGGCTGAATCTTCTGTTCTTGTTGTAAGTAGAAGCTTTATATAGATAAACTTCTACTTATCTAAGTGTTTAATTCAACTTATTAGGTTTTTAATTCTACTTATGTTTTCAGCCATTTGTTGCTATGGAGACAGATAGTTTTTTTCAAAACGATCTTGGCCATCTTCTCATTTTAGAAGCTAACCCACTTTTACCGCCTCGCTCCCCGCCACATGTATTAAGCAACTTTTATCCAATTACCTGGGTAAGCTATATAACTTGAATATATATAATTAGATTTTTACAATATATCAAGATTAAGTATTTTTGTCACCTCTCATATCTTAAACTTTACTCTAAATCAAATATATTTTACTAAACCTTTTATTTAGACAGATTTTACACAGTAATCAATTACACAAGAGCTTTAAGAATTTGTTTTTAGTTTTGATGACTATAGTGAGGTGATTAAGTTAACTCTTTAAAAGTTATTAGTATTTATAATTTAAGCAACAAACATATTTATAATCTATATAAATAATATGTTGCAAACTAGTCTTATACTCTTAGGCTCTGCTCTAGCTGTTTTAAAAGTTTCTAGATTATTGTTTATATTTTAATCAGCTATATAATTTAATTATTTGTTTTTTTAGCAAACGGCGCAACAACTAATACATGAAATACAAATACAAGGAGCAGGTCCCTCTAATTGTATAGTTATCATACATGAAAACATTGATGGATATAATTGGCAATTGATCAGAATGTATACACTTCAAGACAACCCTATTTGGGCTTGGCAAACAACAACAAGGCGTTTTACAGCTAATACAAACTGGATACACATAAATGATCACATCTATAACTATTTAGTAACTCCTATACAAAACAACTCACCAGCTAGTTCACCATCAAGCCCAAATTCAAGCATCATAGATTCACCACCTTCAAGCCCTGGATCTGTAGTTCCACCAAGTCAGAGTTCAAGAGATTCCTTCTTTCAAGATGATCGTGATATTCTAAGATCGGCTGTAAGTATATTTATAGATTAGAATTAGTTAGAGTTTGTTAAACAAGATTTTAAATTCTACTTATTTTAATAGCTTTTTTTCTATTACAAACCAATCACAAAGTTCTACATTTCAAACAAGTTCTATTTATCTCAACTATACTATATATATACTTGATCATAGTTTGTGATTTAATTTTTATTTATAAGAGAGCCTTATAATTTCAGAAAGCTACAACATATAATGTTAAGCATGATTAAACACACAGGTGTATATATTTAGACTACACAGATATTCCTAACCAACAAAATGTTTTGACAAAAAATTCTTTTAGAGTTATATAATATTACTAGTTCAAATAGGGTAATAATATTATTTTCTTCTATTTACAGAGTAGACAAAATGAACAAAGAAGAGCTATAAATAATGTAAGTTATAGTTTTCCTTATATAATACATATCTTAGATATTAAATAATCCTAGGTATGTAACAGAGTTTTATGATAAAAAATATTAAAACTTTAATTTTAGTTTAAGGTTGTAATTTTAAAAAAAGTCTAGCAACCAACAGATGAGTTGATTTCAATAATAGTTAAACTAACAGTTAGTTATTATTATTCTATTTTTAATAAGCTTTATTTTTACAGATATCTGAGAGTTCTTCACCACCACCCACTAGACGTAGGCGGCTAAATACAGAACGAGTGCTTTTACCCCGTGGAGACTCAGTAAGAAATATTTTAAAAGAAGTATTTAAAAAGTCCAAAAATATACAAGCAAAAACAATACAACAAATATTTACTAGGATTATATTATAACCATTTTATGTTTCAGATTAACAGATCAAATAACTTTGGCCTTTGGTTCGTACACACAAGAGGGATAGTTCTTCAAATTTTTTCGGTAAAATACATTTTAAATATTTTTAAAACAATATTAAAATATAATTTATATTATATATGTTTATACTGTATATCATTATTTAGCTAAGATTGTGTTTCAGGAAGAAGTTATAGCTAGACTTGCTATACCCACCAACTTCCGGCAAGTAGACCAAGATTATGCTGAGAGGTGTGTAAGCGAGCTTTATACAACAGCTTTGCAGGAGCTGTTAGTTGAGGATTATTATATAACTTCAAGGATTAATGATGTTACCTGTGTTCTACGAATTCTTATGGTGAGTTATATAGAGACAAAAAGATTTTTATAGTTTAAGAGAATCTTATACCTATTTACATTTTAAACTATTTGTTTCAGAGAGATGGTGTGTTTTATGAGAGGGACCTAACAAACATCCCTTCAGCTTCAATCCCTATTTCTGGATTTCCACATGAAGAAATTACAAATATGATAATACTGGAACCTTCAAGTTTTCTACGAATGTTTTCATCAGAACATGTAGGTAGCATTACCTAAACAATTTAATATTATTTTAATAACACCCCACCTATTACTAATACTAATTTTATTTTCAACAGCTCTCACCAACAATAGTTTCTGTTGTTAGACCCTCATTAGTAGTACCTCCTATTACACCTCATTCAATACCTTCAACTTCAGCTGTAGCCCAGGCATCCTCAACCGATGGAATTTGGCTATCTGTAGATAGGTCGTCGTCTAATACAGGAGCTAATGTTGCAATGCGGCGAGCAATGACTGCTGAATTAGCTGGACCATCCCAACCTTCCAGACGAGTACAACCTGTAGTAAGTATTTTAACATTACAAGACATATAAGTGTAATACTAATAGCCTGTAAGAACAAACTCAAAATCAATTTAATTAACTCGACATTTTTTTATTTTTACTGATGTAGTTAGATAATTACCAAAGAAGTTAGATAATTATCAACCACCTTCAAGTCAAACCTACTATATTTAGTAGCTTTTAATGATAAAGTTAAGCCCTCTTTTAGCTGTTTTTAACATCAGATAGATAAATTATCGTTTGTTCCACATTTATTATAAACATCCAATACTACTACATATTTAATATTCTTTTATGCTCAACAGTAAGGTTCTGTTTAATAAAACATACATGTAGAAACAAGTACAAATTATTATAGTATTTTAACAAAATCAATTTAATTAACTCGACATTTTTTTTTTACTGATGTAATCAAGTAATTACTACCTAGGCTATTACTAATACTTATTTTGTTTTCAATAGCCATCTTCCGATATAGGTAATATCGTTAGACCTACAATACCTTCAACTTCAGCTATATCCCAGACACCTTCAACAGTGAATACCCTAGCTGGTGTTGCTAGACAGCAGACAGCAACAGCTGATGAATTAGCTGGACCATCCCAACCTTCCAGACGAGTACAACCTGTAGTAAGTATTTTAACATTACAAGACATATAAGTGTAATACTAATAGCCTGTAAGAACAAACTCAAAATCAAATCATTCAACTCAACATACTTTTTATTTTACTAATGTGGTTAGATAATTACCAAAGAAGTTAAATAATTATCAACCACCTTCAAGTCAAAGCTACTATATTTAGTAGCTTTTAATGATAAAGTTAAGCCCTCTTTTAGCTGTTTTTAACATCAGATAGATAAATTATCGTTTGTTCCACATTTATTATAAACATCCAATACTACTACATATTTAATATTCTTTTATGCTCAACAGTAAGGTTCTGTTTAATAAAACATACATGTAGAAACAAGTACAAATTATTATAGTATTTTAACAAAATCAATTTAATTAACTCGACATTTTTTTTATTTTTACTGATGTAATCAAGTAATTACTACCTAAGCTATTACTAATACTTATTTTGTTTTCAATAGCCATCTTCCGATATAACTAATATCGTTAGACCTACAATACCTTCAACTTCAGCTATATCCCAGACACCTTCAACAGTGAATACCCCAGCTGGTGTTGCTAGACAGCGGCCAACAGCTGATGAATTAGCCGGTCCATCACAATCTCCCCAACATATACAACCTGTAATAAGTATTTTAACATTACAAGACATATAAGTGTAATACTGATAGCCTGTAAGAACAAACTCAAAATCAAATCATTCAACTCAACATACTTTTTATTTTTGCTGATATAGTTAAGTAATTACTTCAATGGTTTTAACTCTACTAAACATATTAGCTTCCTAAGCTTGCTTTAGTTACTAATGATAAATTTCTTATATATACAACAAATAAAAGTGTTGAGATACAATTACAGCTATTAGATTTTTTCTGTTATTATTTATCTCTTTTTTAAAGATTTAAAAATAAAACACCACATTTATCAAACTTATTAATCTTTATAGCTATTAATCTAATAAACTGTTACACTTAAATAGAGTTGCATTAGTTAACTAATCACAAAGTTACTTCAACACATATATTTTTAGTTCTAATAAGTTTTAAATTCCAGCAGTGGGCTACACCTGGTTTATAAAACCATATTATTTTCCACTTATTGGGACTTGATATAGTACTTAAACAAATATTTCACCTATACAAATCTATAGAAAGAATATTAGTTAAACACTACATTATTAAATCTACAAATGTTTATATAAATCTGTAGTATATGTTTTTATAACAGAGGTTTATTCAGTTATTTTTATTCCTTCAACAATAAATTTAAATTAGAAGAGAAAGCTACCCCAGTTTTATATGATACAGATTAACTAGTAAATGAGTGATCCAAATATAATATTACCTTGATGATAAATCAACTATATATTGAAGTAAATAAAAATCAGCTTAATATATATGTTTCTATTTTCAGAATTCTACTTCAACTATACCTGAAACACGTGAATGTCGCAGCTGCCGGCAGAGCGCTCGCCTTGAAACCTTTCGCAGGAGGTTACTTCAAAGGGTAGGTATCCTTTAAAGAGAAATTAAGTATAAATAAATTAATATGTTTACACTAAACTTTCCACACAAAATTTAACTATTGTTTACCTCAAACTTGAGAGATTTATTATATACTACTGTAATAAATTTTACTAACCAGCTGATTTATGGTTTATACTATTTTATATAAATAGATAAAAACATTAATTCTTGTATAATATCTTTCAGGCTGTGAATAACCCGGAATTTACCCTACCTGCAGCTGCAGCTGGTAGGATTGCTACGCTACGAACCGAACTCCTAGCTGTAGCTAGCTTAGCCGGAAATACATTAGAGGGTTATTCAAATGCTTGTGGACTACAGCCAGCAGTTATATCAGCTCTATGGGAGGACCTCCGTAACACGTTAGAAGGTGTATTGAGGCAGACTACCGGCCAAATAGACACTATGATATCAGAACGAGTTCCACGACCATCAAATCCCCCAATTAATTTGGTAACGTGTCAAATTTGCCTAGAGAATGCCCCCACAGTTGCTTTACAACCATGTGGGCATACCCTGTGCCCTAATTGCGCGCACAGGGTATATAGATGTCCCTTTTGCAGAAAATTTATAGCCGATAGGCTAAATATACAGTGTGTAAATTAAGTATGGAAACAAATCTGTATTTTTAAAACCGAAATAGATAGAAATATTCTATTTGTGGCAATAATAGTTAACAAAGATTTCGCAATTTTTCACATGAAAAATATTTTTTTACCCCCCTAACAGGGTAGGTGGTAGGGGGTGACTTATTTTTTTCAAATAGCAACCCCTATTGAGTGACCCCTCATTTTGAAGGGTTTGTCAAAAGAAACACAATGACGCAAATCCGAGGTGAATATCTCACTCCTAGCCCAAATGGCGGATATTCCAAAATTTGATTTATTGTACGTGAAAAGCACCAATTTCACAAATAATGGAAAGAAATCTGTATTTTTAAAACCGAAATAGATAGAAATATTCTGTTTGTGGAATTGATTGTTGACATAGGTTCCGCAATTTTTTTAATTAACAATATTTTTTCAACCCCTTTAACAGGGTAGGGGGTGGGAGTGACTTATTTTTTTCAACAACAACCCCTATTGAGTGACCCCTCATTTTGAAGGGTTTGTTAAAAGAAAAAGAATGACGCAAACCCGAGGTAGATATTTCACCCCTAGCCTAAATGGTGGGTAATGAAAAATTTAATTTTTGTAAAAAAAAGCCCATTTTGGAATATCCGCCATGTTAGCTAGGAGTGAGATATTCACCTCGGATTTGCGTCATTGTGTTTCTTTTGACAAACCCTTCAAAATGAGGGGTCACTCAATAGGGGTTGCTATTTGAAAAAAATAAGTCACCCCCTACCACCTACCCTGTTAGGGGGGTAAAAAAATATTTTTCATGTGAAAAATTGCGGAATCTTTGTTAACTATTATTGCCACAAATAGAATATTTCTATCTATTTCGGTTTTAAAAATACAGATTTGTTTCCATACTTAATTTACACACTGTATATTTCTCTGAGTAAAATCTACTGTTTTTATTTAACCTCAAAAACCCTGTATTGTTAATACATTTGTATTATAATACAAATTTCAAAATAGTATTAGTTTTAATAAATAGTTACTTCTAATACTTACCCATAATAGAAGCTGTACCACAGAAGACATAATGAACTACACAACTGTAGAGGACAATCCAATGTCATATAATCAGTTGGTACTAATTAACAAAGCGTTGGTTTGAGGTCACGTAATCAACCGAGATAGTAAGAATCACTGCTACATGATAAAAAGTTTGTTAGCTCTAACAGCTTAGAGTAAAACATTTAAAAGATGTATATAGTACAAGTAATACATGGTTATAATCCATTATAGTAAATCTTATATATTTATACATTCATTACTGCATCAACACTAGCACTCTAGTATAAACCTATTTCACTTGTAGTTACATATATATATAAATTCATATAACCAGCTAGGAATCGAATCTGTGAACCTCTCACTATACAAAAAAAAAAACAACCCAGAATAACTCATTTACTATTTGACAGCCTTTACAAAAACCATTTTTTATACTCAATAGTAAAGTTTAACCCTCTTTCAGCTGTTTTTAACAAACTAGTTTACCTTGTGATTGCCAGATTCTTGAAATGTGTAGATATCTTGCTCGATGTACATTTCGCTAAACACACATATGTAGCATCATCAAAAACACAGTTTATCACATTAGACTATTTAACACAAACACTATTTACAAATATTTACATTTTCGGTCGGATGACGATTTACGGTAAAGTCAAAAAACCTAGCACGCAAACGCATACGCAACCAGAAGCACTACATATATCACTATTTAACTAACAACTAGCTTGAAGAGGTATTTGTAGGGAGGTTCGGTCAGAGAATAGGGGTGAGTTTACAATGTTAGAGCTTTCTCTTCTTGGACTGCGACGTTGCCAAGTCTCTGCGCTGTTGCCACATTGATCTTCTAGGTGGTTTATAAGTTTGAAAATTATTGAATTGTTGTAATCTTCTTTTTTGTTTAACAACATCTTTTTTGTTTTTAACATCTGTTTATTTCACATTTATTATACACTATATAATATAACATTCAACAATTACCAATTATGATCAACGGTAAAGCTCCGCTTAAGCGTTATACACTATATAAAGTGTTTTTTTTCCAGACCTACTAGGATTGAACCCATAAACCTCTAAACCAAGTAATCAGCTGAAATAAACAGCTGTGGTTAGATTACATCCGGCATTGAACCTCTAATAACATGTTTTGTGATTGGTTAGATTCGAACCCGTGAACCTCCAACCAATATTTACACACCCTGTATATGTAAGTTACAGAGATACAAATTATAAAATCAACATAACATGCTCAACGGTAAAGTTTAAGCACTATACACTATATAAAATAACCTCCAACATTTACCATTATGATCAACAGTAAGGTTTAAGCATTATACACTATATAATGTGTTTTTTTCCAGACCTTCTAGGATAGGATTGAACCCATAGACCTCAGTTACCATTAGTGGTTGGTTAGATTCAAACCTGTGAACCTCTAGCATAGGGTTAGGATTAAATAACCAGAAATGATAGGTTAGGATTGAACCCGTAAACCTCTAAACTAAGTCACATGATCAGCTGAAATAAACAGCTGTGCGTTAGGATTCTCCCACTATAATAGCATTAGTGGTTGGTTAGATTCGAACCCGTGAACCTCCAACATATTTGGCATATGTTAGGATTGAACCAGTAAACCTCAGTTACCATTAGTTAGATTCGAACCCGTGAACCTCTAACATAGGTTAGATTCGAACCCGTGAACCATATTAAAATCAAACCTCCAACACACCCTGTATATATATATAAGATACAAGGTAAGATGTCATTTACCGATATAAAACTCCATACCCATAACATTGCTGTAGCTCAACCAGCTAACGCATACAACTACCAACAAAAAGACCGGGGTTCGAAACCCGGTCAGGCCAACACTTTTTATCCACAAAACACCTACTGCACGTGGTCAACTGAGAGTACACCTAGATCATCTCAAGGTCAAATTTTGGCCCAAGCGCTGCCCTGACTACTTTTGCAAAAGCCGTTAGCATGGCAACCCATAAAGCCCATGTTAATTTTTTTTTTATTTCAAATTCATTTTTCGTGTTTATTTTTTAGTCTTTTTGAATCTTTAAAGGCATTCTGCACATCTACAGGAAAATATCTTTCTAACAGTATGAGTAGATTTTCTCTGCGATGCACACGAGCTAAGAAAAAAGGTTTTAAAGAAACATGCTTGCCTATGTATTTATATATAGAACTTAGATGGTTACAACAATGTTGCTTATAAGAAATGTACTATTAAATATTTGTTGGTATTAAAAATTAAGAATTATAAATAGGTACGGAACATATACTGTGTAAGTTAAACAAATATTACAAGGGTAAAGAGTTGATGTTTTGTAAAACTATGCTGTTTCCGATTTTAAATTTCTCAATGACTGCCATTTTGAATTGCTTGAACGTATACATGTGGTAGTCAACAAAAAGTAAGATCCTGTTAGTATTCATACATTGATCGACTTTAAAGTTGATTCCAATAATAGTTTAAAAGTTAAGTGGAATTAAATAAAAATAACAAACAAACCGACATGCAGAAAATTAGCCATTTTAGACCCATGTTTTTTATTAACATAAAATACAAGTGGACAACATTTTTCCAGGGAGTTTTTATACACCCTGTATAATATCCACACATAACAATTAACAGTTACAAACAATCTGGAAACCTCTATCTACTGAAGTTAGCAGTTGTCTCGCACGTGACTTAGAAAATATAAAAAACGTCACTAATGAAGTTTGCATTCAACGTTAAATGATTGCATTCTGTTACGGTTATGTAAACCAACCGTATTTACTATTAACTGTATTTACTGTAACTGCTAATGCAAAATAATTAATTAATGTGGCCACTGTTAAATGTTTATTTTAAAATATCTTACGGGTACTTTCCTCTTAAAGGGAACATTCATTATTATCGATCTGATTTCTTTCGAAATATCGATAATTTTGTTTTCCTTTACGATCCATACCTTCTGTTTTAATATCTTCAAACACATTTAAATTACAAATTGTCATCTGATCTTGTTTAGGCAAAACATAAATAAGTAAAACTGTTTTAAACTAACCTAATATAACTAACCAAACTTGCTGGGTTTGCTGTATCATTTAAAATGTCGTTTGATAACAGAAAAGGCATGTGAGTAATATGAAACGGAATTTGGAAATTTTACAGCAAGTTTGGTTGGTTAGGTAAGGTTAGTTTAGAACATTTTCATTTCAATATAATACTAGTGTACCTGTTGCTCGAATTCGAGCAATTGCAAAGCATTACAGGCGTTATTTTAAAATAATTTCCGATGACTTTATAAGAGTCAACTCAAAGATTATAGAAATACTAAAGATGTACACAACAGTTAGATATAATTAA